TGTAATTCAGATGCCCTGGACTTACAATGGGGTCACAGCCTGAAAAAGCCATGGTAAGCTAAAAATATAAGTTGAAAGGATATTTAATACACCTAACCTGGCCAGGAATGGTGGCTCACGCCTGTAATCCCAGAACTATGGGAGACCAAGGTGGGCAGATCACCTGAGATCAGGAGTTCAACACCAGCCAGGCCAACATGGGGAAACCCTGTCTCTATTAAAAATACAAAAATTAGCCAGGTGTGGTGTACACATCTGTAATCCCAGCTACTCAGGGGGCTGAGACAGAGGAATCACTTGAACCCAGGAGGCAGAGGTTGTAGTGAGCCAAGATCACGCCACTGCACCCCAGTGTGGGTGACAGAGCAAGACTCGTTTAAACGCACTCAGAACACTTACATCAGCCCACAGCTGGGCAAAAGCATCTGGCAACACGGTCCACTACAGAATATCAGTTCACCCTGATGATTGCATGGCTGGCTGGGAGCTCCACACATGGCTGCTGACTAGTATCGTGAGAGAGCCTTGAACTGCCTCCTGTGGAATGCACATCACTTTCACACCATTCTAAAGTTGAACCATCTGAATATATAAATATATATGTACCTCATTATATATATGTGTGTATATATGTACATATATGTGTGTATAAATCAGGGATCATCTGTATATATAATATCTATAATATAGGCTATATTATATTAATATATTAATTATAATAATCATGTCTCATAACATATATGACATATACATTACATGTATGCATATAACATGTTAATATACATAATTTAAAATATATGTATGTTTATAGTTACAGTGTGAACTCCTTCGAGACAGGGATTTTCTGTGGTACAACACGGCGACACAAGTTGTTGCGTAATCACCTGTTTCATCTTGATTAACCGAGTTTTGGTTGACTTTGTGATACTTTCTTTGGCCTTGCTCCTTGGCACCCCGCTTGCCATGGACGTCAGAATGTCCATGTCACTCTACTGCCTTCATGGATGCCCACAGCCTTGGGAGTCCACCGTTTGCATCAGCGGGCCCTGGATGTGGACATGGAGTCAAAGGAGATTATTTTGGAGCTTTAAGATTTAACGACTGCCCCACTAGATTTTGGACTTGCATGGGGCCTGGGGCCCTTTTTGTTCTGGCCAATTTCTCCCACCTGGAATGGGAGCATTTATCCAATGCCTGTAATCCCATGGTATTTTGGAAGTAACTCATTTTTTAAAAATTATTTTACAGACTTGTAGGTGGAAGGGACTTGCCTTGTCTCAGATGAGACTTTGGACTTGGACTTTTGAGTTAATGCTGAGCTAAGTTAAGATTTTGGGGGACTGTTGGGAAGGCATGATTGGTTAGAAACATGAGGACATGAGATCTGGGAAAAGCCAGGAGCAGAATTACATGCTTTGGCTTTGTTTTCCCACCCAAATCTCATCTCGAATTCTAATTCCCACTGGCCAAGGCACTGTGAAAATCCGAAGGCCATTGTCCTGCTGTAAGCTACAGGGTTTGCAGAAACCTCTGATGGCTTCATTAAGTCTTGAAGAAAATAGGCCAATGGAAAGGTCTGCACTGGCATCCTCAGATGAACCCTTGGCCTAGCTGGCCTTTCACAGCTAGGACCGGCCAGTGCAGAGAAGTGGACGTGGCCATGCACGGTCATCTCCCAGCTTAGCTTCTGGCCTCCGGCTGGCACAGCTGGGCAATCCACAGAAGAGGTCCTCAGGGTCTGCTCAGACCCCTCAGTGCCCCACTGCTTGTCTCAGCGTGACTCAGGGTAGGGAGGAGAGAGTTCAGTTGGTTTCAATCTGTCTTGGGTATAAACCCCATTGAGCCACTCAATAGCTAATGTAACTTTGGCCATATTCCCTAAACTCTCTAAATATCTGTTACTTCTTCTACAAAATGGGAATGACAGAAACTAATTCATGGGGTTGTTGTAAGGAACAGAAATAAGCATGTGAAGTTTCTGGCACATAATTTCCATTCAATGTCTGTCAGGCATGATCATCACAAAGAACTCCAGGATAAATAAAAGGTCTCCAATGTAAATATTGCAGACATCATGAGAAGTGTGTATATGTGTGTATGAATGGTTGTGCTTCTTTCGTTGGGGGCGCTGAAGTTCATCTTGCATTCCACTGTTAATTCCACAAAGGTCCTCCTTAATCTACCCTAGCTACTTGCTTCACCCCCAGCCCCTGCCATGAAACCCTGAGCCAGACAATTTATTGACAAGGTTATATTATCCCATTTTTTCCACATTACATATTTAAGATGCTTACAATTTCCTATGCCAAAGGAACATTTTAGTCTCACAGCTCATAGCCAACCCCCGAGACACAGGGACGTGTTACAAGGACTTCTTCAAGCTAGGGGTAAGTTTATGCAGTGTAGTTCTTAGCTAATCATGGATTAGGAAGTGTGAGGGGAGGATTAGCACATAAATAAAAGGCTTCTTTGTCTTTATGCTCACTCGAATATCATATTTTCCATTCACTTTTTTAAGGGAAGCTGTAGGGCTCCTGGTCATGACCATTCAAAAAAAAAATTATTGAACAGAGACACTCCTATTCAGTAGCTATTGCCTATGGCTGCTTGTGCACTACAATGGCAGAATTGGGTGGTTGTGACAGAAACCACAGGGCCCACAGTCCTAAGATATTTACTATTTGGACCTTTAAGAAAATGTGTGCTGATCCCTGGTCTTGATTGCTATGGCTTTATAAGTCTTGAAATCTGATAGTGTTAGTACTCTAAATTTATTCTTATTTTCCAAAGTTATTTTGGCTATTCTGGGTCCTTCGCATTTCCATATGAATTTTTAGAACCAGCCTGCCACTTTCTAGAAAAATGGTCTGCTGGGTTTTCTGTTTTTGCTTTTTGATTTTAAAAAAGTTTTTGGCCGGGCGTGGTGGCTCACGCCTGTAATCCAAGCACTTTGGAGGCCAAGGGGGGCGGATCACCTGAGGTCGGGAGTTCAAGACCAGCCTGACCAACATGGTGAAACCCCGTCTTTTAAAAAAAAGTTTTTTTTAGGCTGGATGCGGTGGCTCACGCCTGTAGTTCCAGCACTTTGGGAGGCCAAGGCAGGTGGATCGTGAGGTCAGGAGATCGAGATCATCCTGGCCAACATGGTGAAACCCCATGTCTACTAAAAATACAAAAAAATTAGCTGGGCGTGGTGGCATACGCCTGTAGTCCCAGATACTCTGGAGGCTGAGGCAGGAGAATTGCTTGAACCCAAGAGGTGGAGGTGGAGATTGCAGTGAGTTGAGATAGCGCCACTGCACTCCAGCCTTTCTTTTCAAAAGAAAACAAAAGGTTTTTTAGAGGCAAGGTTTCACTCTCATTCAGGCTAGAGTGCAGTGTATCACCATAGGTCACTGTAACCTCAATGTCCTGGGCTCAAATGATCCTCCTCCCTCAGCCTCTCAAGTACCTGGGACTACAGACACACACCATCTCACCCAGTAAATTTTTAAAATCTTTTTAATAGGTGGGGTCTCACTCTGTTGCCCAGGCTATTCTTGAGCTCCTTGCTTCAAGCAATCGTCCCACCTCAGCCTCCCAAAGCATTGAATGTACAGGTATGAGCCACGGGGCCTGGTCTCTGCTGGAGTTTTGACTGGGACTGCATTGAATCCATAAATCAATCTGGGGGAGAATTGGCATCATAACAGTGTAGAGCTTTCCAGTCAGTGAATAAGTTATGACATCATTTATTCAGGTCTTTCTCTTGGCAATATTTTGTAGTTTTCAGTGCAGAGATTTTATATATCTTTTAATTTTAGCTTCCGGTTGTTTGTATATAGAAATGCCGTTGATTTGTGTATATTGATCTTGCACCCTGCAACCTTACTCATTAGTTCTAGTCACTTTTCATAGATTTCATCAGATTGTCTTCATAAACAAACGTGTCAAGTGCAGATAAAGAAACAGACACTCACTTCTTCCTTTCCAAAAAGGATGGCTTTGTTTCGTTTTGTTTTTGCCTTATCGCACTGGTTAGAACCTCCAGTTGAATAGACATTATGAGAGTAGATATCACTTTCTTGTTCCTGATTTTAGGCTGAAAGCATCAGCCTTTCATGATGAAATACGGTGTTAGTTATGGGATATTTATAGATGTCTTTTATCAGATTGAAGAAGGTTTTTTTTTGTAATCCTAATTAGCTGAAAAAAAAATTGTCAGAAAAAAAAATGGTAGTTGTTTATCAAATACTTTCACTGCATTTGTTTAAATGACCATGTTTTTCCTTTTAAATTTTTTAATATGATGAATTACACTGGTTGATTTTGAATGTTAAATCAACCTTGAATTCCTAGGACAAACCCTATTTGTATTATCTGTTTTATATATTGTTGAATCACTTTGCTAGCTTTTGGTTTAAAATTTTTACATATATACTTATGAAAGATACTGGTTTGTAACTTTCTTTCATTAAGAAAAATAAAATGGGCAGGGAGTGGCAGCTCATGCCTGTAATCCCAGCACTTTGGGAGGCCAAGGCAGGCGGACCACCTGATGTCAGGAGTTTGAGACCAGCCTGACCAACATGGTGAAACCCTGGTCTCTATTAAAAATACAAAATTAGCCAAGCCTGGTGGTGCATGCCTGTAATCCCAGACACTTGGGAAGCAGGAGAATCGCTTGAACCCAGGAGGTAGAGGTTACAGAGAGTCAAGATCACGCCATTGCACTCCAGCCTGGGCAAGAATGTGAAATTCAGTCTTAAGAAAAGAAAAGAAAAGAAAGAAAGGAGTAACCTTATTTCATTTCTTTGTATTTTCTTTTTCTTATATTTTGTTTATTTATTTTTGGAGACAGAATTTCACTTTGTCACCCAGGCTGGAGTGCGGTGGTGCAATCTCAGCTCCCTGCAGCCCGCACCTCTCAGGTTCAAAGGGTCAGCTCCAAGCACTTGGAACTACTAGCACGTGCCACCATGCCCCGCTAATTTTGTTTGTTTGTTTGTTTGTTTGTTTTTCCAGATGGAGGAGACTTTTTATTTAAAGGCAAAATACCAAAATGGCTCTCTGGTGTAGGTGATGTCTACTTTCACACTCAGCTTGTACATGATCCCCTAACCTTAATTTCTTTCTTCTTAAGGGGTTGATTTGGATTGACTTGTTGAGAATGGTATCCGTTACTAATGAGTCGGAGAGAAAGAGATTTCTGTGCTTACATGTAAACTCGTGATAGGTCTGCAGAAGCTACAGATGAAGAGGGTAGTGAGGAAGTCAGCCACGATCCATCTATGTGAAGGTCACATCAGCTTCATTGTACACTTTGAAGACTTTCTCAATGGCATTGACATAGGCAGCTGTTCTCAGGTCCAATCCCAGGTTGTATTTCATGACTGTGTGCATACTTTGCCTGGCAGAATGCTCCATTGTGTACGCCAAGCCAGAGTGCACGATGCCTTTCTCAGATGCACCCGATATCCTATCTTGGAACTCTGCCGTAGGTACAATGAGAATAGTTCCACCATGCTTTCCAAGTTTTCTTTCTAAACTCTCTTGAACAGACTTGAACAAGTGGTAGTTAGAATTCCTTTCATATTTGAAGGTCAAATGGCCATAGCTGACATGATTTAGATTCTTCAGCCACTCAAAGTATGATACTGTCACTCCTCCAGCATTCAAGTAGAGATCTGGAATAACCATAATGTTTCTCTCCAGGAAGATCTTATCAGCTTCTGGAGTTGCTGGCCCATTGGCACTTACATCAACAATCTTGGCTTTGACTCTGGGTGCGTTGGATTTGGTCAACTGCTTCTCACTGGCAGCTGGGATCAGTATGTCACAGTCAGCCTCCAAGATGCTTCCTCCCTAGGGCTTTGCCCTGGGGAAGCCCAGAATGGACCCATGTTGCAATTTGAAGTCTTCCAGTTCCTTTGGGTCAAAGCCATCTGGATTCCATATACTCGCATCAGACTCACCAACAACAATACATTTAGCACCAAAACGATGTAAATATCTCAGAGTTTAGGCCCACATTACCAAATCCCTGAACAACAAATGTTTTATCTCCAAATCCTGGTGTCATTCCTAAAATGCTCATGTAAGAAGCTTCACTGATGAAGTTTTCAACCCCATGGGAGACACCACAGCCAGTAGCAGAAATGCGTCTGGGGATGCCCCCTTGACTGATGGGTTTACCAGTAACACACCCATGTGCACTAATATCTTGTGGCCTATGGTGCTGGCATAGATATCAGCGATCCAGGACATCTCCCGCTCACCTGTGCTCATGTCTGAGGCAGGGACATCAATGCCAGGACCAATAAAGCCCTTCTTTGCCAGCTCCGTGGTGAACCTCCTTGTGGTCTTGTCCAATTCATTATCGGTATAGTTCTTGGGATTGATCTTAGCACCAGCTTTAGCGCCCCCAAACGGCCCATCAACCACTGCACATTTGTATGTCATCAGAGAAGCCAAAGCTTGTACTTCATCTACACTCAAGCAGTGCTGTGACGGACACCTCCCTTGCAGGGCGTGCGGTGCTGGCTGTGCTGGGCCTGGTGACCTCCCAGCCTTCCATGACCTCCCAGGAGCCGTCGTCGCTCCGGATAGGGAAGGAGAGGCTCAGCACGTGGTTGCAGGGCTTGGTGATCCGCAGGATGCGGCGCGCCCGGGTCCGCTCCCCGCTCTCCCGGGTCCTCAGGCCCTCCGCCAGCTTGTCCGCCACAATGCTGGCGTCACGGTGGAAGAAGCCCTCCACCGTCTTGAAGAAGTTGGGGTCGTCCTCACGGTCGGCCACTGCCTCGCTGTAGTAGCGCGTGGCGGCCAATGCAAGCCCGGCTGCGGGGCGGCGGCGGGCTGTCCCCGGCTCCGCCCCGCAGCGCTGCGGAGTCCTCGGCCGCCGAGCCCAGGGCGGCGGGCCGGGCCGGGCCAGCAGCAGCGCTTCGCCCAGGTAGCGGTACGTGGCGGCAGGCGAAGGCGAGGTGCGAGACGGGCGCGGAACAGCCGCGCTTTCTGAGTCCCCGCGACCAGGGAAGAAGGGGCTGGCCGCTAATTGTTTTTTAATCAGGATAATGCTGGCCTCGTAGAAAGAATTGGTAAGTATTCCCTCTTCTTCAGTGTTTTGGAGTAGTTTAAGAATAGGTATTATCTCTTCCTTAAATATTTTATAGAACTCACCAGTGAAACCACCTGGACCTGATGGGTATTCTGTGGGAAGATGTTTAACCAAAGATTCAAATGCTTTTATAGATATGAGGCTATTCTGGTTCTGCTCCTTCTTGGGTGAGCTGCGGTCATGGGTGTTTTTCAAGGAATTCATCCAGCTCATTTGGGTTGTTTAATTTATTGGCATAAAGTTGCTCATAATATGCCCTTTTATCTTTTCAGTATCTGGAAACTGCAGTGATGATGCCTCAGCCCTGTCATTCCTGATATCGGTAATAGGTATCTTCTTTGATTCCTGATCACTTCGCCTGGAGGGTTAGCAATTTTATTGATTTTCTCAACAAACCATCTTTTGGTTTCATTGGTTTCCTTCATTTGCTTTTTATTTCATTGATTGTTTTGGTCGTATTACCTTTATTTTTCTTCCCCTGGGTTTAATTTGTTCATCTTTTTCTAGTTTTTAGTTGTTGGTGGTGGTTTTTTTTTTTTTTTTTTTTTTTGAGACAGAGTCTTGCTCTGTCGCCAGGCTGGAGTGCAGTGGCCTGATCTCAGCTCACTGCAACCTCAGCCTCTGCCTCCCGAATGCAAGCAATTCTCCTGCCTCAGCCGTCCTTCGCTTATGAAGCTTAGTTTGGCTGGATATGAAATTCCAGGTTGAAAGTTCTGTTCTTTAAGAATGTTGAATATTGGCCCCCACTCTCTTCTGGCTTGTAGGGTTTCTGCTGAGAGATCTGCTGTGAGTCTGATGGGCTTCCCTTTGTGGGTAACCCGACCTTTCTCTCTGGCTGCCCTTAGCATTTTTTCCTTCATTTCAACCCTGGTGAATCTGATGATTATGTGCCTTGGGGTTGCTCTTCTTGAGGAATATCTTTGTGGTGTTCTCTGTATTTCCTGGACTTAAATGTTGTCCTGCCTTGCTAGGTTGGGGACCTTATCCTGGATAATAACCTGAAGAGTGTTTTCCAGCTTGGATTCATTCTCTCCGTCACATTCAGGTACACCTATCAAACGTAGATTAGGTCTTTTCACATAATCCCGTTTTTCTGGGAGGCTTTGTTCATTTCTTTCTACTCTTCTTTCTCTAATCTTGCCTTCTCATTTTCTTTCATTGAGTTGATCTTCAATCTCTGATATCCTTTCTTCTGCTTGGTCTATTCAGCTATCGAAACTTGTGTATGCTTCACGAAGTTCTCCAGTTGTGTTTTTCAGCTCCAGCAATTCATTTATATTCCTCTCTAAGCTGTTTATTCTTGTTAGCATTTCGTCAAACCTTTTTTCAAGGCTCTTAGTTTCTTTGCATTGGGTTAGAACACGTTCTTTTAGCTCAGAAAAGTTTGTTATTACCCAATTTCTGAAGCCTGTTTCTGTCAATTCATCAGACTCATTCTCCATCCAGCTTTGTTCTCTTGCTGGTGGGGAGTTGTGATCCCTTGGAGAAAGAGGCATTCTGGTTTTGGCTGTTTGCATCCTTTTTGCGCTGGTTTCTTCCCATCTTTGTGGATTTATCTACCTATGGTCTTTGTAGTTTGTGACTTTCGGATGGGGTCGCTGAGTGGACATCTTTTTTGTTGATGATGAAGTTATTTCTTTCTGTTTTTTAGTTTTCCTTCTAATAGTCAGGCCTCTCTGCTGTAGGACTGCTGGAGGTCCACTCCAGACCCTGCTCACCTGGGGATCACCTGCAGCGGCCTCTGCATTCTCACTGGGAACTGCACTCCAGAGCTGTTCCTATTCTGCCATCTTGGATCCTCCCTCTATAAGTTGGCTTTTTAATATTTATTTTTTATTTTTTGCTTTTCAGTATTTTAAATCATGTACTTAAAATGTCTTTTGGGCCCAGCTCAGTGGCTCACACCTGTAATCCCAGCACTTTGGGAGGCGGAGGCGGACAGGTCTCCTGAAGTTAGGAGTTCAAGACCAGCCTGACCAACATGGTGAAACCCAGTTTCTACTAAAAATACAAAAATTAGCCAGGCCTGATGGTGCATGCTTGTGATCTCAGCTACTTGGGAGGCTGAGACAGGAGAATCCTTTGAACCCATGAGGCAAAGTTTGCAGTGAGCCAAAATTGTACCACTGAACTCCAGCCTGGGTGACAGAGTAAAGCTCTGTCTCAAAAATAAAATAAAATGAAAATAAAATATTCTTTTGTTGGCCCTTTGTTCCTTTAAGAAATCTGCTGTAGGCCAGGCACGGTGGCTCACTCCTGTAATCCCAGCACTTTGGTAGGCCAAGGTGGATGAATCACCTGAGGTCAGGAGTTCGAGACCAGCCTGGCCAACGTGATGAAACTCCATCTCTACTAAAAATACAAAAATTAGCCAGGCATGGTGGCAGGCACCTGTAATCCCAGCTACTCAGGGAGGTTGAGGCAGGAGAATAGCTTGAACCCAGGACAAAGAGATTGCAGTGAGCCAAGATCCCACCATTGCACTCCAGCCTGGGCAACAAGAGCAAAACTCTGTCTCAGAAAAAATAAAATCTACTGTAGTACTTACCCTTGTTCATGTGTAGCAGGACTTATTTCCCTGGTCACTGTAAAGATTTTCTTTTCATTAATGGTTTTCAACAATTTGATTATGATGCACTTTAGTGTGGGCTTATTCATATTTCTTGTGTTTGAGGCTCACTGAGATTCTTCGTTTGATTAGTAGATAGCTTTAATCAAAATTGCAAAATCTCTGGTCATTATTTGTTCAAATACGTTTTTCATTCTTTTCTCCCATCTTGGAAACTTCAGTTACCTTTAGACTACTTGAGGTTGTCTGACAAATCACTGATGCTCTTTTCAATTTTTTTTTTAAGACAGGAACTCTCAGGCTGGAGTGCAGTGGTGAAATCTCAGCTCACTGTAACTTCCGTCTCCCACATTCAAGCAATTCTTCCACTTCAGCCTTCTGAGTAGCTGGGAATACAGCTGCCCTCTACCACACCCAGCTAATTTTTGTATTTTTAGTAGAGATGGGGTTTCACCATGTTGGCCAGGCTGGTCTCGAACTCTTGGCCTCAAGTGATCCATCCACCTTGGCCTCCCAAAGTGCTGGGATTACAGGCATGAGCCACTGTGCCTGGCTGATCTTTTCAATATTTTATTCTTTTCTCTCTGTGTTTTATTGTTTTATTTTATGTAATTTCTATTGCTGTGACTTCAAGTTTACTAATCTTTTTTTTCTGCAATGTCTACTCTATTGCTAATTCTATTCACTGCATTGTTTATCTCAGACATTGCAGCTTCATGTCTAGAAGCTCGGTTTAGGCCTGTTTACATCTTCCATATCTCTACTTAGCGTTTCAAACATATTGACGACAGTTATAATAATGGGGAGGTGGTGTGGGTTTTTTTGTTTTTTGGTATTTTTTTGAGATAGGGTCTCACTGTGTTGCCTCAGGCTGGAGTTCAGTGGCACAATCAGGACTCACTGCAGCCTCCACCTCCCAGGCTCAAGTGATCCTCCCACTTCAGCCTCCTGAGTAGCTGGGGACCACAGGCACATACCACCATGCCTGCCTAACTTTTGTATTTTTTGTGGAGATGGGGTTTCTCCGTGTTATCCAGGCTCGCCTTGACCTCCTGGACTTCGGCTGCTATCCACCTACCTCAGCCTCCCAAAGTGTATAACTGTTTCAATGTCTTTGTCTGCTAATTTTAACATCTGTGTCAGTTTTATATTGATTTCAATTGGTTAATCTTTCCCTTCATTACGAATTGTATTTTCCTGCTTCTTTGAATGTCTAGTAATCTTTGATTGACTGCTAGACAATGTTAACTTTGACTTATTGGGAGCTGGATTTTTAGTATTCCTGTACATATTCTTGAGATGTATTCTGAGATATAGTTTAGATACTTGGGAACAGTTTGAATCTTTAAGGGCTTGCTTTTATGAGTTTTAGACAGATTCCTGCCTAATTTAAAAGCTAGTTGTTCCCCACTACTGAGACAAGTCCCTCCTTAGTGTACCCGATGAGCTGTAAATTATGTTTTCCCACCTGCCTGACAGGTGATTCCTGACTGCGTGCGTGCTGCGTACTGCTGGCTCTCACTCTGCTCTACCTCGGATAGCTTTCCCACTATCACTCGTTACTCTGGTGCATACTCCAGGACCCTCTGCAGATCTCTGGGTATCTGTTTCTGTGCGGCTCTCATCTCTCTGACACTCTGTCCTGTGAACTCTAGGGGCCTTAACCTCCCTGTACCTTCAGCCCCATCTTCACTCAAGGAGTCCCAGAGTCTCTCTAGGTCTCCTCTCTGTATCATGGCCTGGAGACTTGTAAGCTGGGGCAGTTGTAGGACTTCATTTCTTTCCCATTTCTCAGAGATTACTAACCTGCATTGTTTGCTATTCATTGTCTTTGAAACTTGTTTCAAATATTGCTTTTTTAGGTAATTTGGTAAGTCTGGGCCCTGTTAGTTTGCCTTGGTCAGAAACAGAAGGATCTCTACATCTTCTTCTTGAGCAGAAGAATGGTGTGATAAATACAGTCTTTGAAAAGATTTCTGCTAGTGACTCTGCATAGGATAGCCAAAAAAGGAGAATAGAATAAGAAGTGAGAGAGGGAAATCTTTGGGATCATAAATTGTTGGTGTTTTAAAGTCATTCTGCTCCCACTGGGGTCCTCCCACCTGTGCTTCTGAGGAGTCATGGCACACACTTACTAAAAGCAAGTGGTTCTGTGGTTTCTGTCTGCTCTGACTCTGGCCTTCACTTGGGTACAATTAACCATGTATGACAAGGCCATGCCCCAAAGAAGGACCCTATTGGTGAACAAAGCCTTAGTCCCTCCTGCCACCTCCCTACTTGGTCCTGCACCCACATCTTGGACCATATTAATCCTTCATGGTGAGCTCCACTGTCATCTCTGCCAGGGAGCCCTCTGTGACCTAC